ACTCGGTTTAAGAGAGTTTTCAAATACAATCTTACCAAAACTAGCATGCATGCCGTGTACTATAGGATGCCGTATTCAGCAATAAGGAGCGGATTACAAAATTAATTACACAAACTAAGAAGATTACCAAAATTAATTAATATATAATTAAAAAAATTAGTTTTATAAGGGTCAAAAAAGGATGTTGAAAGAAGGGACCTGAAAAGGAGAAAAATAGAGGGCCTCATGTGAATACCATTCTTATACTGTTTAAAGCTGCCTGTACACCCACAATACTAGCCTACTATATAGGCTAAGAATCTAACACATGGGCTTGTATTGTATTATTTTGCTTCAACAAATCAAGTACAACATATATGCCTCAAACTTTGGTAAAAAACATTGGTCTAATCAAATACAGAGTCGGTTAAATGTCAAACATAGCGTCTCTAGTTTTTTCTTTTTCTTTTTCTTTTTCCCAAAGTCAGGAAAAGTGAGGGGGTTTTCTCTCACACACATACACAACCAAGGTGTCATGGGAATTCAAATTTGAGACAATCGATCTGCAAATCAAAATTATTTTACACTAGGGTAGATTCCGTTGTCTAATGCCTCTCTAGCTAGGTACGAATATATGTTTGTGTTGATATGTGTAGTGCGCAAGGACAAATGCCCCTCGTACTTAGGAAGCAGCTTAGTTTTAATATGCATGGGCATGGAACATGTTCTGCTCATCACATATATGGGAGGGTTCTTATAGTTTTTCTATTTCTTGTTTTGGGTAAACAATTCTTTAGCATTTGCATGTGAATACGTACGACTAGGTTTTCTAGAATTTATCCCCTGTAAAATGGCAGAAATTTATTTCTCCTTGTGTAAACGATGAGAAAGGATATATACATACATATGTATATATCAATCTCCTATCCTAAGTGCTGGAGAATTTATAAAGATGGCTGGCCACATTTTGGCTGTGCAACAACGCCAGGTCCACATTGGATTGGAGGAATTATTGGTTTAAGGTTTTAAAAATGAAAAGTGCTGCCAATCCTACCAATGCTAATACAAGTTCCAGAAGTGTCTTCTTTTGGTAGAGAATAGAGATTGCATGATATTTACGATCTCATCATTTTCAGCCACAAATGCTCGTCACCCACCTGCTCTTGTCTTCTCTGTGTTCAAAGTAGATGAGTTTAATTGGATTGATTCTTTTTATTTTTTTATTGGATTGATTCTTTTTATTTTTTTATTGGATTGATTCTTATGATTTTTTGATTTGATTGAATTAGTTTTTTAATTGTAAAAGTCAAAATTTTATATAGACTTAACAATGTTAACTTAGCAGTTAACTTGTCATACCTTAAGTCGTTAGATTATTGAAACAGTCGAGATGTAATGAAATGCAGATAAATGCATGATTGTTAAATGCAGAGGCTCATGATCCCAAAGTAGATTAGTTCTTATTGGATTGATTCTTATGATTTGATTGGATTGGTTTTTTTAATTGTAAAAGCCAAAATGGGAATAATATATCAAAATTAATCCTTCGAACCCAACCAATCTAAACCATACACCATGTAGTTTCTTCTGAATTGACTAACTTACCAGCTCACGAGTACCACCCATATTCAAATTATTTATGAAAAGTTAATTTATTCCTATGTTGTTGGAACTTGGAAGCTAAGCTATAAACTAATAAGAAAGAAAGAAAAAAAGATTTACAAAAAGGGATAGAAATTCCAAAAAGTTTCAAATGACACACGCCATGTATAACTTTTTTTGGTTGGGCAAAGCCATGAATAACTTAATAGGGACGTAACTACCTTTTCAGATTCACCCCCACAGTATAAATTTATGATGTAGTCATAAATCAGCCAAAACCAACTTAAAGTAATGATAAAAACACTACAAAAAAGTAAACAGTTCGGATCATGAGATGATGATGATATTGTGAGATAAGTCTCAAAAAAGTGATTTGTGTCGTATTAATTACGCATTATAAATAGTGATTTTACAGCATCCATGCATGGGGTGATGGTGGTGAACTTTAGCAACAAAGATTGTCATGCGCTAGAGCAGAAATGAAGCACTTTTGTTATCTCCTGTTTTATTCTTCTGAGAGCTCTGTTTTACAAAAAAGGAGGGTATCTGGTTCAAATGGATTTCTTAAGGTGGTTTTGCACAATCTTTTGTTATCTTTGAAGATTCCTGGCTTTACTTTCTTTCATACCAACTCCAGTATCAATTAAAACATTTTGATCCTTCAAAAGGGCTCGCAAGTTGGGGACCTGTTTTATCTTGAAACTAAGGTGAGGGAGCATTTTTGGGTACACTTCATGTGTGCAAAATTTATCTCTAGCACTGGCTATTTGCCACAAAAAGTAAAAATTGAGATAGAATTGAAGATTTTGTAGGCTAGTACATAGCATCAGGTCCTCTGGTAACCTGCCCATCCCATCAACCAGCCAGCCATCTACAGCCTCTCCCCTGAAACCCACTTGCATGTGAAAAACTGTTCTTCACTTCTGTTCTTTTCACCTTGTCAAAGAGAGAATGAAATCCAATACAATATTGTCTAAAATCTCACAGATACATATGATCTTAAGCTTCTATGGTAATGGTACATATCCAAATCTGTATGTTTTTTTCTCTTCTGATAATATACGTGGATTCAATATGTGCTAGTCCACGAACCTAAGACCTGTTGGATCCGGCTGTTTTATTTATTTATTATTGTTTGTGTAGCACAACTCTTACAAATTAAAGAGAAAGCTATAACTTAAAAGCTATCTTATCTTCAGTTTTCAAAAAGCTATCTTATAAGTTGGGCCAACGAGGCATCTAAAGAAGATTAACTTTACGATCCATCTTAGTAAAATCGAAAGAAGATTAATTAGCAATCATGTACCACTTCTATCAAAAGAAGATGGGATTATTAAGATATTAACAATGATTAGCAATCATGCAGAAGATATTTGAGTTACCCAAAAAAACAAGAACTACAAAGATGAGATTTAATTGGCCAATTGGACCCTGGTCGTCCAACATGACATGTTCATGTTGGTACAACGTGCATGTTGCTTGGAAAAAATGAATCTAGGCAGATTTTTGGAGCATAAGATCACCACAGCATTTTTTTGTGTCTCCCATCATTTACCATTCAAGATTTATTCTTGGTTCCATTTTGTTTCTATTTGCCAAGTCCAGATCCACCTGCACAGATTTGTCCAGACTTTACCAAACAGGCCTATCCTCTTCCAGGCTAAGCATGGCCTCCTTCGTACAAATGCCACCACATTTTCTTTTTCTTCATATTCTTTTGAAAGATATGTTTCAAACCAGAATATATGAAAAGAGAGGAGGCTTGGTTTGCAGTCAATCAATAGGAATACAAATGTACTTTGGTCAAATTTGAAATCTTCTTTGTTTTTTGGTCGGGAAGAAAATTTGAAATCAATTCAATGACAAGATGTTGTTGAAGCCAACAGGTAGAGCAAGTAGGCTTGATTTTCATCTCCCATGTAATTTCTGATATTTTGTTTCAAATCCAAAAATACTTCTGAACGCAGATGGGAAAAAGATATCTCGTAAATCTCGGATCATAAGATTAACTCGAGCAAGAAAAAAATTAACATTCACTTATCATAATGCTTGCAAAATATGAATTTGAGAGAACCTTTCAAATCTGATTGCAAATAACACAATGTGCACGGCAGACAAAAAATATGTGAGTGTAAGTAAGATGCTATGTTCTTGAGAAATCAGATATAATCCAAAGGTCACTACAGCTGTTCAAAGAGGCAGAAAAACATAGGAGATTCTTTCCTGGTTTCTGTACACATTGATTAGGGACCATATGTTCTGCACTGATCATCATTCCAGCCCATAGTTTCTAACCATTCAATATATACATATATATTGAACAAAACAGAGACTAAACTTGCACGGTAGATGAAATATTTATTTTGTTTATCATAGTAGATGAACTAATTTATATATTTGAAAAACCCACAGAAACTACATAGATATTGCAATTTTTTTTTATTAAAATATAATCTTATCTATAGGTGGTCTAAAACTAAATAGGGAGTTTCACTATTATCATGTGTGATAACGTGTAAATATCATGTGTGATAACATGTAAAATATGCTCCTCAACATTGTTGAGTACTACCGGATGTTCGCTGATCCACACGCATACATTTATGTGTGTGTGTGAGAGAGAGAGAGAGAGAGAGAGAGAGAGAGAGAGAGAGAGAGATGCATTGAGGAGAACTCCCAAGGTTCATTTGACAACCGCAGAAAGGTAAGGTCAATTTAGTTCCATCTTAAACAATCAAGCAGGTAGACTGAAAAATAAAGCAATTATTTACACAGCATACCTGCATTCTATGACGTTGTGAAACCTACAAAACCCTACTCTAGTTTGCTGAAACTCAACTTGATGTTGATTACATCTCAAAAAATGATATGCCACGGAGAATGAGCCATGGACCTTCCATCCAAAGGACCAACACAGCCGAGAACAAGCTCAATCCACAGCGAAACACACAGAAAGAGGATCTGCGAACAACTTTTGCACAACCTGTCAAAAAGAACTTGATTGTTCAGTACGATTGACAGGGATGATGAACTCAACATTTGGGGTAATTCAGAAGGATAAACATAGGTGAAATGTTTTTAAAATTATGAAACTCCAAAAGGCATAAAACCCATCCGAAGGAATCAATTATGGATTTCACAAATTATAAAAATCAAAGAGAATTGTTTTTTGTTATTATCCCATATAAAAAAGGCCTCCTGACCATCCTTGCACCTTTAATTTCCAGCTTCTCAGGTCAATTCAAGCATGAGGGGTATGCCATTCTCACATAACTCACAACAATAATGTAAATTTTGGACAAAGATGGCTGGCATGCAACAACACATATATGAAAGCAGAGAGAGAGAGAGAGAGAGAGAGAGAGAGAGAGGTTGGACATACCGATTATTATAAGTACCCAGCAACTAAACTTTGAATGCTAGTGTATGTTGCGGTTAAGCAATCCTTGGAATGATAAATAAAGATCTTTGTTATCAGTCCCAAATATCTCTTCTGCTTTCCTTAGAGTTTCCTGGAAAACAATATATACAAACCATTCACTTATTTGGTAATCAATGGGTCTGGTGCATGTTTAGTTGCATCAAATAATCATTCAATCAAACAATTCGCTAGTGTTTTACCTCTCGGGTTTGCTTATGAGCATTTAGTTCCTTGATGTTAGCCAGAAATGCACTGAACTGCTCATATGACAGGCGACTCCTAAATTGCAGCGTATTCAAATCAGTCCATGAAGGGCCTCATTACTATTGCAACAAATCAATCAAAGTGTATTGGAATTGCAATAATTACACCAACCTGGCTTGACGAAAGAACTCCTTTCCATCAATTCGAGGAGTGCGCCCTACCAAATTTGCAATGCAGAAGATGAAAAGTTTTAAAAGGTAACGCAAAATAGGAGAAGAAAGTGTTTGTATAGGGTCGTCAATTACAACTAACTGATGTATTGAAAGACAGAATAGTAGAAGAGAGTGTTCATATAGTGTCATCAACTACAACTCACTGTTGTAATGAAAACACATAAAAAAATTATGTTGAAGCGGGGGGAGGACGATGGGCAGGGTTGGTTTTGATAGATAATTGCAGATTTGGGGCAAAGGGAAAAAAAGGCCACAGAGAACCGGCAGTTCCTATTTAGGTTTAGAAGAAAAATAGTGAAATTAACAGAATTCCAAACCTGGAAGTGGACGTCCACGAGGTGGAGAGTTTGCTGCTGATGACTGCTGGCTTGATGAGTACCATGAAGACAGTGACGTCCGTCCTTCATAGTGGGGTTTTGTGGGAGATGTGGCACCAGAGGATTGCAGAGGAGATGAAATAGCAGAATACCCTCTAGGTGACCCACTTGTGGAAATAATCTTTGGAGTTCCAGTTGGAGTAAGCCGCGGTGTGATATATGGAGTCACAGAAAATCTTTGCCCAGAAGTCTTCAAGGCTGTGAACCAATAATTAGGTTTCTAATCATAAAATAAAAACCCCCTTACTCTGAACTAACTTGGTTTCATGATTTTCAGTAAACGAACGATATTTAAATCTGCAACTTCATAGTACCAAATTGACATAATTCAATTATGAGAAACAAAAAAAAGAGAGTATAAAAGTAGAAATAGCAGGAATCAATCAAGTGATTAGCAAATTTATTAACTAACGGACAGGCACCCACTCAGAGAAACCAGAAGGTTCAATATCGCAAAAACTACCAAAGTGACTAAATTATGAATCAGTACCCCCTAAACAAACTCAAGAGGTTCAATATCACAAAATCCTTCATTACCATTTCATAAATCACCAGCAGAGAGAGAGAGAGAGAGAGAGAGAGGGAGGAGTATTTTGTCTTGTTATTACTTTTAATTCAAGATTTGAACTAAACCATTGATTATACATCTTGAATCTTGATGATAAGGCATTACGGAAGTTAATTACTTGGATATCAATACAATAACCATATTAATCACACAAGTCAGGGATATCGCCTTAAAGGTAAATCAATTTCACTTCTTTTGTAGAGGAAGATGTGAAGTTATTGAAATCCCTCGAAAATATTTGGTACCGTAGAATTATTTATCTCAGAGACACTACCTAACTTTTTGATGTTTCAATGCACTATGCTATTTTCTTTTTTCTCACCTTTAAATGAAAAGGTGTTATTAGTGTTCAGCGGAGAAGCTCTGTTAGAGGTGTCTGTACAATCATTATATGAAGGAGCATATGATGAAAGGATACTGATTAGGAACATATGGTGAGTTTATTATTCGATGAAAAATATGTTCTCCTCTAATGTATGACAAAATATGATTCTAAATGTTTGTTACTTATTCTACGAGGTATTATACAGGCAGGATAAACATCCATGAACAGTAGGATCCAGTTTAAATACCTTCATCAGTTGTACTCCCCTTATCTGTGGAACCACTTGAGGAATATTGTAGTGTGTAGCCATTTGTCTCCTCATCTGTAGCAGACAGAAATAATGCACATTGACCACCAAATCAAAGGAAATAATAAGAAGCAAAGTTAGAACCCTTGACCATTGAAAAAAAAAAAGAGTTGCTAAACATCATTAATTTATTACAGAAAGACTATAGAATACTTGATCAAATCAAAGAAACAGTACCCTTATCAGGATATGCCTTTGGAACTGATTGGTCACAGGTGCCAATATCAACAGTTTCAGTTGGCTATGAAAGGGAAAATATAGTTAATTAGTTTTGCCATAGCAAAATTATCCAAGAACAAACTTCCATGAGAGGAAGAACAATAACAAACTTAGATTCTCAAAGATATTAAAAACCATAATTGGTAAAGTTGAAGTCCTCACAGATGCATTATCATCATTTAGAGACTGCATTAGTTGTCTCTTAAATGTCTCCAACTGTCAACAGGAAAAAAAACTGTCATTCCTTAGGTCAACAAGCTACACAAATGAAAAGAAGTTGAAGAAATAAGTTTGCAACATCCCTAGTATAGATACAAATTGCAACCATACAAAAACAACAAAAATAAACAAAACGAGGAAAATAAACAAGGAAATAATCATGAGTTTGCTGGGTTGGAGTTTTATCCGTATGGATCTGGAAGAGTTGAATAGTCATAAGAATAATAACACGAAACGCTGACGTCCATACAGTTGTAAACATAATATAAATTTGATCAGTTTCAGCTACCCAATAGTATGCCAAACAGTTTATCTTCACATTATTCTAGCTTTTCTTTTCATTTTAGAGGCCTGCAAGCTCATGTTTGTGAGGCAAGGTGGAGTATGAACCCATAAAAGAAAGCATATATAAGCATTGCCACATAACATGAAGAATCCAATCTTTATTGATATGAATTCCTATAACAGTTTAATTAATATAATAATTTGAAAACACAGAATTAGGATTAAATCAAACATAGGTATGCAGGAGACAAGATTATGTATTACTACACTTCTGGACCACATAGGGCCTTGTACCATGTAATTGGCATAATCTACTGAAGTTAATGAAGAACTAAAATAGTTAATATTGCATCTCTAAACAAGTTATTGATAGGATACAAAAGGAAACTTTGAAATGTCACATTGCACAAGTTCAAACAGATAACAAATTCATCTTATGATTCACACAGTTTCCTATCGAAAAGAAATGAGATGGAATAATTCATCTGAAGAGAGAAAGAAATGGATTAGCACATATATTCACCATTAAGGAACACTGAGTGATTAGTGGCTTCCCCATTAATTCTGGAAAAAATGTCATATCATTTTCATTTCTACACATAGAACGTATTACAAATTCTAGAATATATCATCCATGAAACCACATTTACAAAGGGAAAATAATAAGGGAGTTTCACTAAAACACCCAAAATGGGGGCTGAAATTATAAAAAAACCCAACACCCAAAACACTTTATAAATACACCCAAAACCCATCATTACACACACTCAAAACCCATTTATAAACACACCCAAAAAATATACAATTGTTGATTTTGGGTGTGTTTCTATGTTTAAATAGTGCTTGGGTTTTTTTTATAAATACATGTCTAGGATTGGGTTTATTAATAAATTTGTAAAATAATAATACAACTAAAAACCAAAAGGCATCCCCAAATTCCTCTTGCAACGTGTAAAAACTTTTGTGTTTCAATCTCCAAACAAGAATAGTGCATAAATTGTTTGAACAATTTGAAAAATGAAGAAAAAAACTCTTCCACTTAAAACAAATAACAAATCACACCTTTGCCAAGTCACGGTTGAGCTTTTTCGCAGTCACTGCCAGTGAATCTCGTTCTTTGGAAAGCTTCACCTTCAGGAACAACAAGAATGTAACATAGCCATAATTAATGCAGGTTTTTTTTCACAAGAAACTCAAAAGGTGATGCACCATCCATTGTTGAGGACATGAAGTTAAGAAGAAAAGACAATAGTTGAATTGTGAGTACTATTATTCTTTTTGCATAAAGACTCCAGAAAGTAAATGACAAAAGGAAGATGCCTCCACCTAGTTGAACAGTGTTACAACTAGTTGATGTAACCATGTGCACTATGTTAGTAAATCTTTATTTTTTATAAACAAAATTGAAAGAAACATACGTGCGTGTTTATTAGAAAAGAAATAAATTATCACATTTCAGTCGCTCAGCCTAATACAACTATCTCTAATATCCACACACACACACAAAAAGACCAATATGACAATTCTGTTCAACTTTAAAATAAAAATTTGCTTTCATCACTCCTGCAGGTCTTTTTTTCATAGGAACTCCTGGTCAGGTTTTACAGAAGAAAAAATTAATCAAATGGTAGCAGAAGAGGAGTAAAACGCAATGTTAATATCTCATTGCTTACATTAAAAGCTACCTTTTTTTATATAGGAACAAAGAAATTAGTTCCTTTCTACTTCATAGTACCTCCCAAATTTATCTCAAGACCTATAAACTTGATTGAAAAGTGTCTTCCTTTTCTTTTCTCTATTATGAGCCAAAAGCGAAAAAGAAGAAATTTTGTTTATATAGTAATGAACTAAGGAATAGTATCGTCAAACTTAAGAATTTAGTGGTTGCACTCTCTGTGCTACATTCATCAAGCATCACCCCAGCTTCTCACTTTTCTAATTGAAAAGCATTTCAATCTTCAAATATTTATGGTTCTCCCTCAACTCACTCTTGATTCCTGACTCCAGACTAGAATTAAAAGATTTCACACTTAAATGATCTACAATCACAATTCCACATCCTAACCCAACTACTCAATCCCATTGGACCTAAGTCCCTCATATCCCACTCAATTAAACGAAAACAATTAATAAAAACAACCACCATAACAGTATCAACGGAAAACACTCAATCTCCCCCCAGAACTCTCTCCTTTTCTTCCATTCCTATCAATTTTCTCAGCAACCAAACAGCTAAAAATAAGGACCATATATGAAATTCAGAATAAGGTATCACATTTCTTGGATGCTAATTTGAAAGGGGGAAAAGACAACTATAGTGAAACCCCCAAAAATCCCCCAAAAAATGACTAATTTCCCTCCCTTCTCTTCCCTTTCCATAATTTTCTTAGCAACCAAACAGCGCATATAAAAAACAAGAAAGAATACAAATTTGATACAACTCCCAAAATTTCAAAATGAAAAAGTAGGGGATGGGGGGTCTTAAGCCTTACATTCTCATCCAGGGCAATTCTCAATCGGGAGTCAGCCTCGTGGTTTGCATGTTGGAGGCGCGAGAGCCTTTCCTCAAGCTCAAATACAAGCCTATCTTTGTCCTGGAGTTTCTGCCTCATTTTCCCCATCTCCGACTCGAGCTTGGAAACCCTGGAGGCTATGGCCATGGACGTGATCTTTCGCGCCAGATCCAGCTGATCGTATGGATCGGTAGGTATCACCGATAAGATCTCCTCCGGTAGCTGAAAGTCGAGCCCGCCGCCATCACCACCAGCACCAGCACCTCCTGCGCTTCCACTGCCCTGCGACATAGCTGATTGCTCCTCCTCCTCCTCCGAGTCTCTCTGTGGTAGTGGTTGTGTTGTTGGTTGTTGATTTGTTGATTGATTCTCTGTTCACACTTTGGGCACAACGATGAAGTTGAATAGGATTTTCTCTATTTTTTAATTAATTTCAATTTTTCATTTGAATGAATTTTCCCACTATCTGTCCTTTCCCTAAAAAGAAATTTATTTTTTATTTTAATGTTTGGTTCCTTTTTGTTTTTGAGGTTGCTGTCTAAGTTCGAAATGTGCGGGGGGGTTTCCCTCCAAAATCCAAACAAACTTTGGGTATGAAACATATAAAGCCCAATAAATATTGGGCCTCGTTCAAAATTGGGAGACAAAGATTTATTTTTTTCTAGGCCCAGAGTAGAAGAAACTTTTAGCTTTTGCCCAGACCACCAAGAAGACACACTGCCTCTCTCTCTCTCCCTGCTTCCAATTGCTCTGAACGTAACTCGAAGATTTGAGTGAGTTCTCAAATCGCTACTTTTAATCGTAATTTTCCCGCAAAATTTTGTTCCCTGGTGCTGTCTGTTTAGGGTTTGGAGTTTTGTTATTCATATTCTTCTTCTTGTCTGCTGTTACATCGCAGAAGGCTTGCAATAATAGCCCTTCAATCAGCTTCAACAAGGAAAAACAACAGGTTCGTCGAAACCCAGCTGTGGTTTTTAGATTTAAAGTACCTTTTTTATTTTGAAGTTGGGGAGGAGGGGAGAGATTTAAGCTTTCTTTTTTCTTCTTTTGTAATGCAATATTGGGTTGTTAAAGTTTCAATCTTATGTCAAGATAATGCATTTTGCGGGTTTATTTCTGATATCTTAGTGCTCAAGCTCTGTTGAAAATCAAATAAATTAAAATATGAATAAATTTCTTTTCTTTTGCGTTTTGCTAGTCTTTGAAAACGTATTTTTCAGATTAGATTGGGCCCAATAGAATTTGTCAGTTATACATGTGTATATGTAGTATAATTTTCATAAGTTGGTTTCAATTTAACTTGAATACTTATAGAAAAAATATATAATCTTCTTCTGGGTGATTAGTTAATGAATTTAATACTTCCGTTTGATACAGAGAGAGACTATGTCAGTGCTTATAGTGACAAGCTTAGGGGAGATAGTTGTGGATTTGCACACGGACAAGTGCCCTCTGACTTGTAAAAACTTCTTAAAGCTCTGCAAGTAAGTTTATCTTCACTACCCTCTAACTAAGACTATTCAGTTTACTTTTGTTTTTTGTTGTGTTAATATATGTAGATTGAGGAGAGGTCTTTTTTTCAGTTAAGGAACTTAACAAACAAATAAATATCTAAGCCTCGAGCTTCATTTTTATTTTGTTAAATTCATGTATTTTCTCAGCAGCCAAAATTTTTTTGTTACTTCAGCTATGGATTAAATATATGAACTTTGAGAACATAAAAATGGGTTCATGTGGGATTTCCCTTAAGTACTAGTTTCTATTTTCAATTGCTTACAGGCTTGTTAGGGATTATAGAGTTTCTTACTTGCCCCTGAAATTTTGGCACGTTATTTTCATGGCTGATTGGAATATAATTATTAAGAATCATACTAATGTTTTATGGTTGGAATTTATCCTTTCTCCTTGAATGCATACTTTTTTGAGTTTGTTGAGTTTAATTATGAATTGTATTATCTATCTCAATTTTGGTATATCATCTTATTTTTTTCTCTGTTCTTTAATCTTGATAATGATTCAGGATAAAGTATTATAATGGGTGTCTTTTTCACACGGTTCAGAAGGATTTTACTGCACAGACTGGTGACCCAACTGGAACAGGCTCCGGTGGTGATTCAATCTACAAGTAAGGAGTCTGCCTGTGCTATTCAGTGCTATGGTTATTTCGCAGAGAATATTTTAGTTGTGCCAAAATATTGAAATATGTTTTTCTTTCTACACTTCTTGCTTCTTTTTTCTTTCTTGCCTTCCTCACATCAACAACTATTACTGCATGAATGGCTATTTTCACATTCCCACTTTATCCATTTGCACTCTTCCCTCGTTGCTTTGGTAATTAAGTCGACGAAAGGAGAATCAAAGCATACAAACAAGGAGATGAGTGAAAACAAACAAAATGGGAGTGTGAAAATCACTAAGTTGCATGTGTTTATAGTTATCAATTGCTGTACTTAATGATAAGTGACTACAGTTTTTAAATTACTCCATATACTCACCTTGGACCACGTTCTACTTCCAGATTTTTATATGGTGATCAGGCTCGCTTTTTCAATGATGAGATTCATCTTGATTTAAAGCATTCTAAGACAGGAACTGTTTCCATGGCTAGTGCTGGAGAGAATCTCAATGCTTCTCAGGTATAAGATTATTGCTTCTTCTTTTTCTGGTATAAGCTAGTTTTTCCTGCATCAATAATTTTGGGAATAAGATTTTGTTTAGTTGATTTGTGTATCAAACTTATGCTTTTTTAATGTTGAACTTTTCACTTTTCAATTACATTGCGGTGATGTGTTAATTTGGTTTTTGACCAGTTCTACTTTACATTGCGTGATGATCTAGACTATCTCGATGGGAAGCACACAGTAAGTCTCCAGTCCCATCTACTAATATTTACTATTTATATGTATTGAATTGTTTTCTCTTCCTCAACTTTGTCAAATATAAGAAACTTTATTAAATTTAAATTCCTTGCTGGGTGGATGGATGCTCAGGTCAATGAGACTTCAATCTTGATAGGAGCAGACAAGTGACAACTCAATATTGTGATATTGCATGTACGATAGTTTCTTTGGTCTCGATGTCTTTAAAAATATAATGAATAAAAATGGGCAATATTTCGTTGTTGCTACATCTGCTAGAAAATGCTGGATAGTGGGAGAGGGAATGTCAATCTACTGATGCACTGACTTAATGTGGAAAATGATATTGTTATCACCTTCCTATGCGTCAATGCTTAGGGCTTGTGTTTCATATTGTGAACATAGGATTGTTCCTGTGCAATAGCGTTCTCTTTCTGTTTGATGGGGTTGCATGATTATCCTTCCTTGTGTATGTTTATGTAGAGTGTATTACATATATTTATGCTAACAGACAGTCTCTTCCAATAACTCTGCAAAATCTGCAAGCAGATGGCATATGCATGTCCAGTGATTATTCAGTTGGTCTACCCCTAATTAACCCAAGAGGAAATGTATGATTTAGAAGTAGTCTTGTCGGTCTGGTAGTTCTGAAATAGAAGCTTTGCTATGTTTGTGCTCCCGCAATTTGCCATTGGTTTTCTTTGATAACTTAATTGATGTATGTCAATGCAGGTTTTTGGGGAGATAGCAGAGGGGTTTGAGACATTGACAAGGATCAATGAGGCTTATGTGGATGAGAAAAACAAACCCTATAAAAATATCCGGTCAGTTCCTGTTTTTCCTTGAATATATTCTTCAATTATATGTTTGTTTCAAGCTAGATTGGCTTCATTATGGCTTACGCTTATATTTTATTTGTGTTAGCAGAATCAAGCATACTTACATTTTGGACGATCCTTTTGATGATCCTTCGCAATTAGCTGAGTTAATTCCTGATGCTGCCTCCCCAGAAGGAAAACCAAAGGATGAGGTAGTGGCTAATTGCAACTTTTTTCAACATTTATTGTGCAGTGTGAAACCCCAAAATGAAGATAAAAATGAAACATGAACTGCTCATATAACACTTGAAATCGTAGGTTCCCCAAATAGCATGGTTGCCGATCTTTAGTATGAACACTTTGTATTTTGGCTAGTACTGATCAAGTTTATGTTTGACCACTATGTCCAAAAGCTTTGTGAAGCAACCCTTACGTCTGGGTCTCTATCATTAGGTAGCCCAACTTTTGAAAATTAAACTTTTATTGGAAAGTTGCAATTGTAGGGATCCGAACTCAGAATCTTATGCTTTGATACGATGATAAAGTTTGTTAGTCCACCACCTTTCTCAAAAGCTTAAGCTGTTTGGATGAGGGCTAACAATTTATATATGTTCTCAGATCTTCAAACTTCTTACTTATCTCTATTCTGACTAGGTTGAGGATAATGTGCGGCTTGAAGATGACTGGGTTCCTCTGGATGAACAATTAGGTCCACAAGAACTTGAAGAGCGTCTTCGTGCCAAAGACGCACATTCCAGTGCAGTTGTACTTGAGAGTGTAAGCACCTCAACCATGATTCCATTATTCTAGTTGCAGCGTTTGATGTTGTGTATTCACAGCTTAATCCTCTTTTTCCCATTTTTCTTGCCACATCTGTTTAACAGATTGGGGATATTCCTGATGTTGAGATAAAGCCTCCTGACAACGTGCTTTTTGTTTGTAAATTGAATCCAGTCACAGAAGTAAGTTGTTTTTCTTTTTTCCATTTCCTTTAATAGTTTTAACTTGTGGTGTGGTGCACATAATTGTCTGCTTTCGGTGCAGGATGAGGACTTGCACACAATCTTTTCGCGTTTTGGAACTGTGCAAGCGTAAGTATTGATCTTGTTCTTTTAATTATTAGTAGTGTGTGCGATGGGTGGGTTAGGGATTGTAATGATGCATATTTATGTTACTGATGACAGGGCTGATATAATCCGTGATTTCAAGACTGGAGACAGCTTATGCTATGCATTCATTGGTGAGTATATTTTATTTGATTACTTATTTTTCTGTTTTATAGTAGGAAATTGACTATCTCTTATCTGCTGTGCCTGGTAAGCTATGGTTTTAGCACCTTTGTTTGATGAGTTCCTTCCAATGTTCCTATCCTCTTAAGTTTTGTGCACAAGTTCATCGGTCAACCTTAAGTACTATCAAGTTCTTTGTCCTTCTGCTTACTTCTTTCCTGTTATTTTCCTTTTAATTTTTTTTAAAGTAGTATTCGATTTTCTGATTGTGTACTCAAATCAGTGACATGTTTGATATTTTGTAATGCCAGAATTTGAGACCAGAGAGGCATGTGAACAAGCATATTTTAAGGTATGTTAAAAGAAATTAACCTATTGTAGAGGATAGGAAAATAAAAACTTTGTTGTATTCATGCAACAAAACAGTTAACATTTTCGTATTTAGGCTATAGATTTGTTATCCTTTCCTGGCGTGCTTTGTTTCCACATGTATTTTTTAAAAGCATGCTCAGATAGTCCTTTCAAGTTTCAACAATAGGGTTGTAAAAATACTTGCTGCAGAACTTATGTAAACCTTGCTGAAGGGCTTCCCATTTGTAGGCAGTCTTTTAAAATAAGGAGTGAGATCCTTTGACTCTATTTTATATATGAGCCCATTTTGCTTTCCTTGCCTTATTGAATTTATTTTTGGTAGATGGATAATGCTTTAATTGATGACCGGAGAATACATGTGGATTTTAGTCAGAGTGTTGCAAAGCTGTGGTCCCAGTACAGGCGCAAAGATCAACAAATGGGCAAAGGTATAGACTTCAAAGGATGCAGGAAACAAACATACATAGTTTCTTTTTGTCCATTTTTAATGTGTGCCTAGATGCAGCTTGCTTGATCACCTCCTACTGCTCAAAGGAATGTTTTGTTGGGAGAAAAATAAATAATTAAGTAAATGCCTGAATGTTGTTTTTTACTGGAAGGAATTTGCTATATGTGCGTTGCTATGGCATATGCTAAGGGCAATCTGACATACTTTTGCATCAAGAATGTGTCCTGTATTCGAAATTGTTTTGGATCCTTCTTTAGTTAGAATACCTAGGGTTAATATTTTTCTATTTTCTGTGGCTGTAGGCAAAGGTTGCTTCAAATGTGGTGCACTTGATCACATTGCCAAGGATTGCACTGGTGATTCTGCCAACAGACAGCAACCTCAAAGTACATATTAAAGGATGACAATGCACAGCGTGGTGGAGGCAACAACTCTAGGTTGGTAGTCTTGCATGCTGTCGCTCTCTCTCTCTCTCTCTCTCTCTCTCTCTCTCTCTCTCTCTTATATATATTATGTAATTGTATTTCTGATATTAAAATGGTTGTTGTAGTTATGAGATGGTATTTGATGGAGACACTCCGGAAAGTCCAAGACAAGAACAGAGAAATCAAGGTCGCAATCCAAATGACCGCAGAGTCGAGAAACAAACTATAAATAGGCGGAGTTCCGAGGACCCAAGGCATAGGGATCAAGAACATAAAGACCTAAGTGATAGGGAGAGGCACAGTGACAGAAGTAGAGGGTACAAAGAGGATTCAAGTCGAGACAGTAAAGCAAATCGATCCGGTGGAAGTAGAAGCGGCCAAGATTATCTTGAAGAGCAAAGGGATAAAGAAAGGCATAAGGACAGAGAAAGAGGCACAGATGATAGGAGAGATCAGCGTGAAAGCAGAAAGAGATATGCTGATGATGGTACCTATGCAGAGAGGAGGGGTGATGGAGATTACAGAAAGAGTGCAGATAGCGATAGAGATGCATATAAGGAGAGGCGAAGACATGTAGATAATAAGAATCAGCGGGAGAGTGGAAAGAGATATGCACATGATTATGCGGAGAGGAGGGGTGATGAAAATTACAGAAAAAGGAGTGCAGATAATGATAGACTTGCAGAAAGGGGTAGTGACCGAGAGTACCGAAAGAGAAGTGCGGCTGATGATAGCCTTTCAGAAAAGAGGGACAGTGGAGAGTATAAAAAGGGAAGTGCAGAGAGGAGGGATGATATAGAATATAGAAAGAGATATGCGGATGATGACAGACGCAACAAGAGAGATGAACCAGTGCACAAGAGAAGAAGTGCAGATATTGATGCCTATAAAGGTAAAAGGGAAGATAGAAGATAGAGAACATGGAAGGTAATGGTGAGACCTTCATCCCGAGAAATGGCACTGAGCAGAGAAAAAAGACTTGAACTTACTTTTCGTGATATATAATTTTGACCTCAGAATATTGAATCAGACGGTTTTTGGTTTTTGTAGCAATACACTTCTCTACCAAAGGAATTAAATTAACTTTTGTCAGCTTATGCATGCAAACTCGTGAGACAATCACGTTTTGTTACATATTCACTCATATTATTAATTTGTTAAAAACAAGTCATTTAAATGGAGCACCAAAAAGATCGCCAATAGAAACATATTTACGAGATTGAAGCTATTAATGATGATACTCCACAGTTTTGTAAGAAGACAATGTAGCAAGTAAATACTGCTTTATGGAAGGAATTTTAGACAATTTCTAGAAGTTAGGAGGAAATGATTCATACGTACATGTGTGGTATATTTATTGTGAAGTTTACAGTAATATAATCCAATACAAGATCCAACATTTCGCATTAGTTTGAACAAAGGAAGGGGAAGACAGGCACGAGAAACAAAAGGAAGAAAAACAAGAATCCATTTCAACCATATACGACTGAGATGGATATAATAAACTGAATTGATTAGACAATATCGCAGGGTTTCTTCTCTATTTTTACTACTATGATTCTACAATCAAATTATCCTCATCTAAACTAAAATACATCGTACACGGTTACATCCAAAACATCTTTAGAAAGACATGAGATTCAAAAAGAACCTTTATGTATAGTCCACTTAGGACTTTGATACGCCTCTTAGAGATTTCTGAAGGGCAGAGGATGTAGTATACATGGAAGCTGGTCAAAATCATCAAGCTAAAGGAGCCTTAGAGCACATAAATACTTTCCCAGAAGCTGGGAGAAGACAGGAGAGTGTACCCATGATCATCACCAAAGAAATCACAACAGAAACCACGGATCGTTTGTGGCAAGCAGTACAGACATCACACATGATTTTCCGGTGCATGCCTTTTGCTATCCCTTTCTGTATGGCCAGAGCGGCCCACCCTGTTGTGATCTTCTGTATAATCACCATGATTATGGTGATGGGGCCCAGGCGCATAATCATGTCGCTGCTTCCTTTCCATAGGAACTGCTACTGGGCTTCCTGCCTTTCTCTTACGACTGCTTGATTTTGGTGACTGAAATTCTTGTCCGGCATCAAGTGCTGATACCTCACCTTCTTCTATATTGTTTAAATGTGGTCCGCCATCTCCAACACCGTCCGGATGTTTTCCCTGATGCAGGCCCTCATGTTCTTGTCTATTTGAGGGCTTTGACCAGCTTTGCCTCCTGTCCCGCTTGTTCTTCTCACTCCCCGTAGCCAGTTCAATACCATCTTCAAGTTCCCTCTCAATCAAATCATCCTCATCCAGCACATCTGTCTTCCGAGTCACATCAGCCACGGATTTCCTTCGTTTCTCCAGTGCTGCCCTTACCTTATCCTTGTCAATTTTTTTTATAGCTTCCTGTGGTGATCGGCCATGTGCACTTTGTCGATTCTCCAAACTTCGGCCAAATTGTTTATCCTTCGGTTCCCATCCTTCCCTTGTTTCACCTTTCCCGACATTGCTCTCTCTTTCTTGCTCTTCACTATGTCCCTCTGACACAAACCTTGATATATTTTGAGATTCCCCCACCTTGTCTAGGTGCAGTGAAACTGCTTCGGGGGGTTGACTATCTTTGAATTCAACATCCATATTCTGATCCAAAGCACCTTTCATTTCAGCACTTCTGTAGTCATTACTTTGACTGTGGGTAGTTCTAGCAGGTCCACCATTCTCAACATAAGACTGCTCAGACCCTTGCCTAGATGCTGGCTTCGAGGTTCCAGGTCTTGTACCTCCAGCCTGCGAATGGCTGTTGCCTGTTGCATGTTCTTCATTGCTAGTTGTAGCTTTTGCAGAAGGCTGATGATTAGCACCACTCACTGAACTTCCTTCAACTTCATTAGTGGACGGCGGTAACCGATTTTGTTCATATAGTTCCAACATTTGATTGCTCACTTCTGCAGCAAATAATGGTCAATTGAAACTGATACCCAACATATTTAATAAGATTCTTAACTAAATACATTAGACATGATCACAGGATTGTACGAATGGAGGAGGAAGGGAGAAACAGAGGGAGAGATTTCATTCCTCTCCAAAACATTTTATCCCCACAATTGATTGGTTTCACACTGACTAACAAAAAGAATAAGAGCCGAAAATATTGGAAGAGTGAAGAGTGATGAAGTAAGTTCATCAGATGAAGAATAAGAGGCTGGGAAAGGACACTAATGATTGCTCTGTAGCATCACTTATTGAAATAAAGCAAGGACACCCACCCTCCAATTGGCGTGGGGTGACATCAAACTCTTGCCACCAGACCTTCTCGCCATCTGATGGAAGCTTTACTTTGAGGAACTTAGCAGCAAGAAAAATGGCACCAGCCGCAATGTGGTGGGGCTTAAATTGCAAGCAAAGTGATGTCCGAAGTCTGCATGCCACATTCCAAGTTCAAGAAGAAACTGAAGAAAGGCCAAGACGAACAAGCAAGATATATGAACTAAGAGAACCATACCCGTCATTAACAAAATTCCATGCAACTTGAGCAAGGGCATTTTGAGCTACTTTGAATTTCTTTATTGCCTCAACCAGTGGTTTATATGGATGGTTTACATTAAGATCAAAAGCAAGAGTTGCAAGAACAACCCTCTCTCCAAGTAGAATCAACTCTTTCTGCTGTTCATATACCTCCTGCATGATTGTTCCAAATGTATGAGAATAGATAAATAATTGCTTCCAGACCAAAAAAAAAAGATAAATAATTGCTTATAAAGCAAACAATAAATTAAAATCAAATTTGGATAGTAGTTCTGGGATAAAAGAAACATTAGAATGAAAAAGGGAAAAAGCAACAGGAGCAGGAGAGAGAGAGAGAGAGAGAGAGAACAATTAATCAAAGCCAGTTGGATTTATGTCTAGGAGATTTAGCAACTGGCTACACCTCTTGACATGTACAATTGCAGCATGGATATGCAGTCTTTGTGCTCAACCTATACGGGGAAGTTGGCATTTCTAAATAGTAAAACCAGGGTAACGATAGAAGAATAATAGTGCACACATCAGGATTATCTTTACAGAAATTAGGAAGAACTAAATAAGTAGCATAACTAACATCAATAAATGTGTTGATAGATAAGTATAGGAATGCCAAGTGTAAGCACTTAATGATAATTTTTTTTAGTAAGAAACCATACTTTTATAAAAATCACCAGAATGTACAGATCGGCGAAGAAGAAATACAGCAAAAATACAACAACCAGAATCTTAAAAATAAAACACCTCTCTACCACATTTCACCAGAATGCACTATATAGTGATAAATTGATAACTACCTTTTGCTTGATTCTATGACCTGCTGCAGGATCCTTTTTATTAATAATTTCATACGAGACAAGAATGACATCTTTCAGCGGCCTGGGAGTTTCTTCAACCTTCCCAGCAAGAAACATACACACTGTTGCAATGGTCTGCAGAACAGTTTAATAGAATTTAGTAAAACATCTTCCCTTTTTCTTTGATACGAATCATTTTCCCAATTAATTTCACCTTAATCGTTTGTGGGATAGGAAACAAGTCTACAAATGAAAGTTCAACACTACAAAAACAGCGAAGCAGCAACACACTGAGGGTTCACCCAACATTACAATTGCAGAAAAGCAATATAACCTTTAAAAAGAACTAACAAATACATCTAACAACCAGGCCCTACCATAACACACAGAAACCCAAACAAACAGTTGTCTCCAAAGAAAGAACAAACTTTAAATTCATCTACAACTGAAGCCCATAATGACGGGCAACCCTATAACATAAGAATCCACTGCCTACGGACCCTTACCCACAAACATCTTGCTACTCATTTCCATCCAAACAGAAAATTGCCAACACATTACAATTCCACTAAAACTTTGGTCTTTTTCCAAGCACAAGCAGGGGGACCACCCAGCTCAAACCCGCTAACAGGAATAGCTTGTACCCCTGAACTCAAGGCAATAGGGCAATGAGGAAAAATCTGATCAGTGATTTTGGATGCCTTATGCACATGGTACACACCAGTGAGGAGATAAATAGGAGTAGGCTATTTCCTTCCAACAACATCACAAGTATTTACTCTCTCATGAGCAATAATAGAATCATAAATGTACCTAAAAAGGTGCTCTAGCCTTTCAAATCATTAAGGATGGGTTGAAAAATAGGAAGAGAAGGGTTATCATTAAGGGGGGATAGCAAGACTTGCACGAATAACTAACCAAGGATTCACAATGACATGACCTATCGAAATCACAATAAATGTAAAGTGAAATTTTAATCAAATAAGGGAGAGAAAATAATTAATATCATTCAGGTTTCTATGGATATTAAGATTCCGGAATATTAGAAAGTAGATAAGACCGACTAGCTACCTATGGAATACATTATGCGATGAGGAAAGCCTAGAAAGGGTGCTTCCTATTCATTGGATTAAAGATTATCAAGGTTTCAACTTAAATCTTTCATATGTTCCTTCTTCTTAGATAGATACTTAAATGAAAATACCCCTAAACATAAAAATATTGTATCTCATATGCGGGTGTGGAAATTCAATTATCACTGTTAATGATCATACAAAGTCAAGAGGAATTGTATATTAGGTTACACCAATAGGAAATGTAAACTCGATCACTCCATCATGCGGAATTGCAACCACAAACAGACAGTATGAGTTTTCTTTCCAGAATGCAAGTGTTGGTATATTTCTAAAATAGATCTCCAGAATCGAACTATGTCCCACAAATAATTTGTACCAGTACATTTCAGGGACATGCATCATGTCCCAGTTAATCAGGATTAAGATTAAGGCTTAGTTGAACAGATTCTATGTTTAATCTATGGTAACTTTAATGACATCATGGAAAACAGGCATAGTGATAGCCATTGAATGAGGTTGGTTGATCCACTCAAACCTATAATATATGCCACACAACGAAGATCAAAGGTCTAATAGAAAGCATGAGCCTTGTAAAGAAATCACATGTCACTGAAATTCCTTATATCAATTAATACTAATTGTCTTGCATGGCATTTGCAATTCAAGTACAATAGAGATTAGAAAACTCTAATGCTAATTCTAGTAATATGCATGAAAGTCATGACAAAAGAGGTTGACATCAATCAGTTGTAAAAACCTTTGTGCACCCCACATAAAGAATCCTGCAACCATGAAAGCAATAATATTCCAAGCACACTGAGGTTTTCATTCATCTGAATCACACTCACAAATGACTACCAGTAAGAGGGAAGGTGGGGTAAAGCATCAATTGAAAAAGAAACAACATGCATGGGGCTAAACATCTTACTTCTTCACTGGGTACCACAAACACTTGTAATAACTACAATAAGCCATTTATGTCTTCACAATATATGTACATATAGATAACTTCAACAGGACGCCACATGATATGACTTGTGAGAGGCTGTTCAAACAGCAAAATATAGCCCGTTTGAATGGCCTCGCACATCCCAAAAAATGAGATCCTGCTGATGAAGGAAGAGTCATGTGTGTGTAACAAACAGGCACACACGAATGCAGACATATATGCATTTATATATGTGTGTAAAATAGAGACTAAAAACATGCAATAGAAACAGCGAACAAAATGCGCTAACTAGAAATTTTAAAGCAAACTCAAATATATATCAAATAAAACTAGAAAACCAGAGGGGATGGGGGCTATTCCAGGTTGTTAATACTCACCCTTCTATCATTCTTTGCATGGGATTGGCAAAGGAAGAATCGATGACAGAAGATTATGGCTGTTGCAATCGTTACCTGGGGTCTGCATAATAAAATGTTCAGGATCAACATAATGCTGAATATTTGATCATAAATTATTTAATTTGGTAGAATTTGAGTCACAAAACAAGATAATGGTTTCAAATCCACTATGCCGTAGGAGAATGAGAATAAATGACAACCAAACAACAGTAAAACTACTTGTTAGAAAATAAAGGGTGAAGGAAAAGGAAATAATGGATAAGGCTTAAAACTCACACTTTAAGTCTCATCCCCAAGTCTTGTAGAAAAGTACAGTATGACTTGCGTAGATATGCCTCTTTCTTTAAGTCAATTCCATCTATTTTAGATGGAGAATTTTCTTCAATTTCCTTTCTGGAAAAGTACCAACAGGCTCCTTCGTCTAGCTTATCCTGAGTGTGTTTATAGGAACCAGTATCACTTATACCATAGTTAGAGGAATCGCCAGACAAAAAGGAAGCCATATGTATCTCTGTTCAGCACTTAATATAACTCTGACATAGACAGTTCATCAATATTGAAACTGTGAAGACTAATCACCAAATTCCAGCAGCTTCCTGCACATGGATTATCAAGTCAGAAACAGTGGGCCGTATGAGCATCACAAAAAACTTCATAAAAAAAACATTGCAAAAAATAATGAGACACATTGATTTAGAAAACTGTGAACTTCAGCACCCACCAAGTGATTTTTTCAAAAGTTCGGTTCTTTGGTCCTTTGAATCTTTTCTGGGGCTTCCTCTACTAAGAAATATCATGTATTGTTCCTTATATGGCTGAAAATCACTTGGGTATTATCTTAAAACTCAATTTCTCCCAATGAGCCAGGGGAAAATAAGACACACATATACACATGTTCCGCGAAATTATAGCAAGCAATTACTTTTCTGTCGAAGCAGAAAAGACCCAGTACTGAGTATGTGCAAGGTAAAAGATAACCTATATTTGATACAATTAGCTTAGATAGGGATCGAAGACTACGATGCCTTCAACACAATTGAATACGGAAAAGAAAAAAAACGAAAACCAGAAAGCAAAGTTAAACAAGTGATTGTTACCTTGAATTGATGAAGGCGAGAGTCCCAGGGCAGGAAAGTGTCGAATTTTCCCAATTTGAACTTAGGGTTTTATGCTGTGAAGCGAGCAAGAGGGAGACGATGGAGAATAGAGATCGATAGCTTTCCTGTTTTGTGAATTCTGTATTTTGGTTTCTTTTATTTATTTCTCCTTTTGCTTTTGGGTTTTGTGGGTTTTTCTTTTGGTTTGTCTATTTCCCCTTTTTTTTTGGTTTAAATTTTCTATTTTGCTTACAAGTGATCCAGTGGTAGCATATATAAGCCAACACGGATATATAATAATCATCATGATTTTATGTACGAGTGATTCTGCAACTTCCACCTAATTTGTTGGTCACTTTCAAAATAACTAAGATTTGAACACGTTGTCCCTTCTATCATTAGATTTCTTCATATTTTATCTAAGTTATTGTCACGTGGTTTATTTTTGAGAACATCTTGATTATTTTAAGTCACATAGTCTCTCACCACAAAACTCGTCTTCTTGAGCTATGGAGTTGAAGAATCTTTCAAAATTAGAAGTGATTTGTCGAGTTGAGTGTCAATTTCACTAAGACTTGTCGAATTCCCAATATTGCAAATCATTGTGTAACCTTTTGGTTAAGACTATAATTGGTACAAGAGCTTTTCAATTCAATTTGGCCCTTCATGACCTAAATGAACCATGAAATGATCAATTTGCCCTTAGAAATGCCATATGGCAAATTGGATCAAATAGGGTAAAATCTGATGGTAGGGGGCACGTTTGCCATTTTCAATAGTTTGAATCTTTAATTTATTCTTTTATAATTAAAAAACATAGGGAAAACTGAAAATTACTTACAAATTTTAGGGGAAATTCGCAAAAGACTCTTTATTTACCTATGACATAGAAATTGTGTGTTTTCACTTGATCATGCTTATATAAAATTATTTATCTAAAACCCTGAAAATGATATGGAAATTTGTGTCATTTAGAAAGTCAACAAACTCCGCATAATCTTTAACCGTACTGATAGACGGTGAGGCCCAAAACGAAAGGTATCACATAATCCTTACCAGACAACTTTGTGCACCTACCAACTAAGTCATGACATGTGCTTGCTGCTCAGATGGCCCCAGAGTTCAGTGGGTTGAGAAAAGAGGGAGAGAAGGTCAGGGCAAAGAATCATGGCAAACAAAAAACAAAAGGAAAGTTCAAAGAAAAAGAGATGCGCAATTTGTAACCATTGAATATATAATTGATTGGATTCAACAATGTCAAAAGTTTCTTCCCCATTTAACCATTTCCCTACTTGTATCATCACCATCAATAAATATAGTGTCCAAAACATTCTAAGAATTAGATGAGATGGAAAAGCACCTATTCAGGACTGATAAACCTCGCTCTCATGCCAATTATATATCCGCAAAAGATCACAGTGGGGAAGGAATACACAGAAGTTAGTCAAGACACCGAGCCAACGGATTGCACTGACATATCTTAGGGTGCCTCTGGGAAACATCAAAAAAGGATTAGAGCATACCAAGGACGGGGTCTGCGAAGAAATCACAATATACACTTGGACATGAAGAGAACTTGCACGTCATTAAATCAAGACCTCTCCAGCAACTGCAAGCAGTGCACACCACCTCAGACATGATTTTCCTGTACTTGCCTCTTGTGATCCATTTCTGTGTGTACAACCCGGCCAACCTCGCTGTGATCTTCTGCATGATCAAACTGATTATGGTGGGCAGTTCCAGGTGAATAATCACACCGCTGCTTCTTCTCTACACCATTGAGTGGAGGGCTTTTTCTCTTGCGGTCACTTGAAATGGGAGAATGATATCCTTGGCCACCATCAGCAAGTGCAGATACCTCACCTTCTTCCACATTGCTTAAATCAGTTCTACCATTACTGGCATCCTCTTGTTGTTTTCCCTGATGCAGGTCCTCATTTTCTGATCTATTTGAGGACTTAACCCAGCTTTGACTCCCGTCTCCCTTGATTTTCTCACTCCCAGCAGCCAGTTCAATACCATCTTCCAGTTCCATCTCAATAAGATCATCCTCATCCATCAAATCTTTTTTTCGAGTCACATCACCCTGGGACTTCCTTCGTTTTTCCAGTGCTGCCTTCAACTTGTTTTTGTCAATCTTTTTTATTACATCCTGAGGTGACTGCCCAAGTGCACCTTGTCCATTTTCCAAACTTCGGCCAAATTGTTTGGCCTTCAATTCCCCTGCTTCTCTTGTGTCAAATTTCCCATTATCTTCTTGACCTTCTTCATGACGGCCCTCAGAACCAGATTTTGATACGTTTTGAGCATCTCCCATCTGCTCCTGGTGCGATGACAATGGTGCAGAGTGCTGATTATCTTTGAATTCTACATTCACATCGTGGTCTGGAGCATTTCTGATATCTGTACTTCTGTTGTCATTATTTAGACTTTGGGTATTTCTAGGAGGTCCATTATCATTTCCAACATCTAATTGGTCGGGTTCTGGCCTAGATGATGCAAGCTTCAAGGTTCCAGGTCTTGTATCACCACCCTGTAGATTACTGTTGCTTGTAGCATATTCTTCATTGCTAGTTGTAGCTTTTGCTGGAGCCCGATGAGCAGCGCCACTTGCTGCAGTCCCTTCAACTTCATTGGAAGCTGGAACTCGATTTTGTTCATATAGTTCCAACATTTGATTGCTTACTTCTGCATAAAACAATTGAATGCAATTAAAGCTGACACCCAATGTCGTCACAAAATATTTAACAATCTTCTTAATTTGTTTGAAACTTTGATTTTTGTAGTTCTTCCTCAAACCCCGAATCTATATAGAGTAACAAAAAGAATTAGAGGGACGAAAGTAAAAGAAAAATCTGGATTGATGAAGGATAAGTGTGGGGGTAAGGACACTGTTAATTGCTCTGTAGCATCACCTACTGAATTAAAACGAGGACACCCACCCTCCAATTGGCGTGGGGTGACGTCAAACTCTTGCCACCACACCCTCTCGCCATCTGATGGGAGCTTTACTTTTAGGAACTTGGCAGCAAGAAAAATGGCACCAGCTGCAATGTGGTGGGGTTTAAATTGCAAGCAAAGAGATGTCCGAAGTCTGCACGGCACATTCCAAGTTCAAGAAGGAAATGAAGAAGGGTCAAAAATGAGCAGCGTATATTAACTATGACAAGCATACCCATCATTGACAAAATTCCATGCAACTTGAGCAAGGGCATTTTGAGCTACTTGGAATTTCTTTATTGCCTCCACTAGAGGTTTATATGGATGGAGTACATTAAGATCAAAACCAAGAGTCCCAAGAACAACCCTCTCTCCAAGTAAAATTAATTCCTTCTGCTGTTCATACACCTCCTGCAGGATTTCAACTTGTATTATAACATGAATGACAAATTGGAAAATATAATTGAATACACAAGACATATTCTGGGATCATGAAATAGTATCGTTTTCAGTTAAAAGCAAAAGTAAAAAGAAAAGGGAACAAAAAAAAACTAATCAAAGTCCAGTCTAGTAGTATAGCAAGTTGCAACACAATTGTGCACGTCTGCCCCAACTGTAGGGGGAAAGTTGACATTTCCACATTCTATTACCAAGGGGGCATGCAAATGCAGTTGAGAACTTGTGGTATAGTAGAGAAGCAAAAATAACGTTACACATGCCATGAATACATAAAAAAAAATTATTATGAAGATCTGAATGAGTTCACAAAAGATAAGTAGCATCAATATGAAAAATCTTAACAAATGAGGTAGAGGAATGTCATGCATAAAGGCACTGCAGTGAAACTACCTTTTGCTTGATCCTCTGTACTGCTTTAGGATCCTTCTTATGAATAATTTCATAAGACACAAGGATAACATCTTTTAGTGGCCGCGGAGTTTCTTCAACCTTCCCAGCAAGAAACATACAAACTGTTGCGATGGTCTGCGGCACATTTTAATTGAGTTTAGTGAACAGAATTTGATCATTTGTCCTATGTGAGTCTTACATTGATTCTCTCTTACTGTTCTTCTTACACCAAGATGAAGAGAAACCTAAATCTTCTACCTGCTCTTTATGACACATGCACACATGTACCCCACAGGTACACATATACAAAGGATGAAGTTGAACTTTGCAGCAATATAAGTAATTCTTGGGTTTTTTTTCCATAAGAAACAAATTGTATGGTTATCTTCTCTGTGCTAAGTTCGAGAAATTAGTGTGGTGATAGATTGACTCCAGCAGAATCAATACACAGTTATTAACCTTAATCCTTTATCACCCATCCCATCCAAGAAAAACAGTACCCTAAATCCTTTAAGAGGGGACATTGATGCCAAAATAATGGGAATTTCAAGAACATCATGGCATACTTGTCAGCCAATGAGGTTAATGTATCCACTCTAAGATCCACTACATGTATACAACCATTCATACACTAGACAACTGAATATCATTGGTCCAGTAATGAAAATAATCACTTATTCGCAGGTCTAACAAAAAGTATGACTCATTTAACAAATTACAAGAAACTCGAATTTGTGAATCACCTTGCACGCCATTAACAATATAATTACAACATAAGTTTGACAAATCTTCAGGTTTGAATAGGAATGGGTGAGCATTCATGCCAAAACAGATGACACCAATTAGTTACAATTAAGACCCTAGTTGAATCCAGAAGTTGGCAGAAGTTGCAAATAAGACCCTAGTTGAATAGTAGTATAGCTAAAATTTGAAATCTTCAAACAAGTATTCTCATAAAAAGAAGTTCACTAAGGCTAAACAGGCACCAACGACAGCTAACACAACGCATTAGGCATCACCCCAAGTAGAACGTTGAAAGCTAACTCAGATAGATACATAGACAAAGTTAGCCATAGGGGATGAGGGCATTCAAGTTTTCAATACTCACCCTTCTATCATTCTTTGCATGTGATTGACGAAGAAAGAATCGATGACAGAAAATTATGGATGTTGCAATTGTCAACTGGGGTCTGCATAAAGAAATATCCAGGATCGTTATCATGCTGAATCAATAAGTCAAAACCAGGCAAAAAAGAAAATATATCTAACCCTACTATGCAGTCAGAGATTAAAATGTTAGTTCCGGTGGTTAATAGCCTTTCAACCCTACATGATTATTAACATTCGACTCAAAGTTATTTCTGTTTTAAAAATCATGCACCAATTAGATGGAAACTAAGAGCATGCTGGATACCTTCTGTACTAATGAGACTTAAGATATATATAACAACCTCTCATGACATTTCAGAAAATATTACCACCGCTTTTTGCAAGGTTGACTATACCCACAGAAGATTTAAATTATCATAATTCAATTCATATACAAATAAGGATTAGAAAGGTACATTAAACATACAACGTGCCTAAGGTAATAATGTTCACACATTATCCAAGAGTTAATCCCAATTTTGAATTGCATTTCAACAGGGTTCTCTTTTTGCATTTGAGACTACGCAATTAAGCATTTGGTAAGTTCTAAGAAAGATGATTCTGCTTCTGCTTCTGTTTTTACTTTCACATCTTTAGGTGCTTCACAAAAAAATTTAAAGAATACTTTTATAAAGCTACTAATGCTGTTTTTTGACAGTTTCACTCATATCATCTTACTACCAATTAAACCTATCAACGCATTACTCTTTTCTTCCTTTATACTGCAATATCACTCTAGAATAGCATTTACCTAAAAACTACACTTACCTGCATAAACATTAACAAATACAATCAATTTAATTTTCACAACAGTTTTGGGGCACTACCAAATGGACCCTTAGTAATACACAAACTTTAAATCAATATAGAAACACTAAAAAATATGAACAATTCTCTTTGCAGTAATAACAGGACAAGCACAAAGCTGATAAAAAGTAGTGAGAATTTCATCAAACTTAGTTAATCAGATCACTGAAAAATTAAAGAAAAATGCAAGGAACAAAACTTCATCAGGACTGTTTCCCATCGTCTTAATCTTTTTAAGGTCTATATGAAGAATCTTTTTTTCTCGATGGAATTCCTGACGTTTTCAAACATCATCTCCGGTGCACGGAAGCAATCTAGGCCTCTAAATTTACATTGTTACACATTCTAATTGTCTTTCTGCCTTGGAACTAATTAGAGACCATTGATGGAAAGAAACATTCTAGTCAGTGACATTGGTCTTGGATGAATCTCCACGACCAAGACAAAAATGATGATGTTATGTAAAATTTAAATAAATGTACTGGAAGCACTAAAAGAGATAAACTCCTCAGGAAACTGTGCATCATAGAGAAATCCTCTCTTGAGGGACCTAGAAACTCCAGGAAAAATAGGAAAATAAAAGATAGATATGAAAACTCCCTGAAATTTGTTATTGAAATATCATAATCTTAGTGCCCCTCATAGGCTACAGAATGACTTACATATAAGCCTACTATATGCACTCATTAAGGTATGTACATTCATAATGAACCAGAATTTATTAATGAGTGTAGATTATGTATGCTCATAATGCATCAATAGTAAATATAAGTTCAATCGTGAACCTACTGTATAACACCATTACACAATCCAAGAATTCTCAGTTAACAGATTTTGAAAGAGAAATTGTTAATTCTTAGGGTTCAAAGGAATATTAGACTTTGAATTATTTGTAAATTAGAAAAGAAAAGAAAAAACCCACACACAAAAATCTTTGGGTTCCAATCATAAACCGAATAGAGTTCTATTTATTTGTAAACCCGTGCAAGGGTCACATGCCTTTTTACTACACATTGTAGCGTTCAAACGCCTTCTACAGCAGCTTAAACACAGATTTTTTATATTTGTTATTTTGATAAAAGGTTTGGTATGGCTATATCGTTGAATAGGGACTTTTAAGATTTATTATTGCTTAAAAGGTTTAACAGGATGTTCAAGATTTGGAACCCTAAATCTTGACTAAACGCTAAACTCTAAGCCCCAAACTATATCCAATAATGAACTAAAAAACAAATTAATTGAGTGACACAAATTTAATTCTTACTAGTTACATTTTATTCTAGTATGGTATGGCAATCTTCTTGTTTTTCCCTATTTATAGAAGATGGAATCACAAACGATAGAAATAATATTTCATCGAAGATAAAGGGAAAAATGAAAACAAAATTTGAGAAAAGGCTAAAAAACTCACACTTTAAGTCTCATACCCAAATCTTGTAGATAAGTACAGTATGACTTGCGTAAATATGTCTCTTTCTTTAAGTCAATGCCATCTCGTCTAGATGGAGAATTTTCTTCAATCTCCTTTCTATAAAAGTACCAACAAGCTCCTTCCTCTGGCCGGTCCTGCCCATCTTTATAAGAACCAACATCACTCATTTCACTATGAGAGGATTCAGCAGGCAAAAAACCAGCCATATGTATCTGAGCTCGCCAATTTAAAACAATTCAAATATAACAACTTGAGTGGTTGATAACAATAAAGACTATATCACCAAAGTCCACGAGCTTCCTGTTCATGGATCGCCAAGATGGGTCAGAAATAGTAGGCCATAGACTATGATGTAGCAAGGTAAAATAATATAAGAAATGAGTTGTAAACACAAAGTGAAAAACTAAAATCCATAAACGAAAGCATAGCATGCAATCATGATCATGATAGATTACGGAACTGTAAACTTCAGCAATGATTCAATTACTAGCATTAAGGCTATAGAAGAGGACAAGGTAAGCAAACACAATTGTTTTTTTACACACTCTACCTCATCTTCCACTAAATCAAACTTTCTTTCTTGTTTCCTTTTCCCAACTTTTAACTTTTTATTTCCATAGTGGAATTTACATCTTCATCTTCAAATTGAAATTTCTATTTCTCTAATACTCTTGCATAACGGTGCAAAAAGTCAAATTTGTGTCTTCCCAGTAAAGCTACTTATGATTCAGGTACAAAAAACATGATGACCAAGAGAATGTCCAAATCTAATAATCCTTTAATTGACTTACTTGATGAGGTCCAAATTGTGAAACTCATCTAACTTTATGTAATAAAGTTTTAAGATGAAAATGTCAGAGTTCTTCCAATCACTCTCAAGTCCTCCGAACGCTGTCATATATCTATACACTACAGTGGAAAACAATGTAGGCCTCACCATTAACTATTTTATCATAAGCCATTATTCTTTTGAATTTACCAAAAGCTCAAAATCTATGACACGACAAGAACCACTTTCATTCATCATTGAACTATAAAAACTGTATCATATTTTTATCTTGGAAATAGAACCAATTTATTACTTGTTCCATTTACACAAGTTTGAAAGATATAGAATAACGAAATTTTTCATGTAGGAATTCTTAGTATCTAGAAGACTTTCTTAACCACTTCTTAGAGCTACCTCAATCATTCCCAAACTTCATCAATATATGAACAAAGTGAGTGGTCTCCTTGTTACTTCTTTGCTTACTACGAAATTCACCAATTCAACAAAAAATTGGAAAATTTTCTATTATGATTATAATTAAACCACACACACACATATAATACCAGCAAAAGAAAACCAAACACACACTCACGCGTATATGTGTATATTATTCAACATTTAATCCTTAAAGCCAACCCCACTCCTTTTTTAAGCCTATTCTTCGAAAATTCAATTAACATAAATAGAGCATCATCTTAAAACCCCAATCTTTCTCAGATAAAAACAAAACAAAAGACTATAACGAAAGGTTCTTCCACACAAACAAAAGACAACCCATTTTTAAGTTTGTGTATGTAGGATTGCGAATGAGCAACTTACGTAAAATTATCTTAAACGGGTTCGAATTTCGAACGAGTAAAATATAATGAAATGGAGCAGCTAAGAGCTCGAAACCAAAGTTAAGAGAAGTTATTGTTACCTTGGATTGACGAAGACAGCAGAACTAAGGCAAAAACCTACCCAATCTTCCCAATTTGGATTTTAGGGTTTATGCTGTGCAGACTCTGGAGAGGGAGAGCGCGAGAGAAAATAATCGCTGTGTTTTTAAGACTTTTACTCTTTTTCTTTTTTTCCTTTTTCTTTTTTTCCGCTTTTTCTGATTGGTTTTACATGGTTGCCACGTAGGCACGTACGGATGTGTGGGATCTCATGGGTTTTCCTTTTGTTTTTTTTAGGACCTTTCCTTTTTTTAATTTAAATTAACGATTTATCGATCTAGTTTTGTGAATTCTCTAGAAGACATGGTTCTTAATTATTTCTTTTTTCCTGAAATGCTATTCTTCATAAATAAGTAAAATAATTACTTGTTAAACGGTTAGACTATTTTTTAGTAATTATTTACGCTAATAATAAGATTTAAAAAACAAAAACCTAACTAGGGATAAAATTTTGTCATTGGATAGACCTACATTATTCTAAGCTTTTCCCCTCATACAGGTGTTTCTTTGCAAGGGGATTGTAGCTCAAATAGTTAAGAGCAGTTATCCATGCACTCAAAATTTTGTATTTGAATCCCTCTATATATAGTTTGTGAAACCAACTCAATTGTGTATTGATGGTAATTTTATATAAAAAAAAGTATCAATAATATATCATGCTAATTATGGTCTAGTTACCTCAAGGTCCGTGTTCAAATTTCTCTACACGTAGTTTGTGAAACCAACTCAATTGCATATCAATTAAATTAGACAAGTATCTTGATTGTTGTTTGATGAACTTATAAATGTTGTGAGCTAGACTTATTAAGTTGGATGAGTGGAACTCATAAAAGCTAGCTTGGACTCAATTTCAATCCATTTTCAAACTGAGCTATCAAATGAGGTCGAAAATCACAATTCACAAAGGCCTCAGTTACTCAAACCCTCCCACCCCTAACTTGATTCACCTTTTTTATCCCAATCAAAGTAAGTAAATTTTGTTCTCTCAAGATGAGTCGAGTGCTAGGAAATTGTGAGTTCAAAACACAAACCTTATGCTAAAAATATAATTCTAGATTTGCAATATATATATATATATATATATCACCACCATTCATCTAATTATTGACCTTTCGGAAATTTGGAGCATTACAAAATCCATTCCATCTCACCCCAACTCGAACCATAATGTTTGTTTGGTATGCGGTTTGAGACATAATCAAAATCATGATATTACATCAGTTCGGCATGTGATTTTATATATTTTTGACAACAATGTATCAAATAAATATAATTTGACGGTGGATAGAAGGATCTATTTCTATCTTTGTTCCATTTATTTTAGATCATTTTCTTGGATTTTATGTTATACAATATTAATAGATTTTAAATTGTTTGCATTAAATAAATTCTATGACGGATAAGACGATCTAAATGTATTAATAAATTCTAATGACGGATAAAGAAAAAGGATATCATGCGATTTGATGATTTGGTCGCGAAGCTTCTAATTAAATAAACTAATTACGATTTAATTTAATTCCAGTCTAAAATTAATATTTTTAATATAATCACCGAATCAAAGCTCTCAATTTGTTGTGTTAGGTTGATTTACATGTCGGCAATCACGTGTGACCCCACCCATATATTTTTTTAAGTTTTGCCAAAAAAAGTATAATATTTTTGAATTTAAACAAAAAAGGAAATCAAAATCGCTGTCTCATACTCTCAGGCTTTGTAAATCACAATTCACAATCACTCAAATCCCAAACTTTCTCTCTCTGATTCAATTTGTTGGGGGTTAAAAATCATAAGCGAACGCTGAACAATTTTGTGAAATTTTGGACGGTTGAGATTGGCGGGCAGAGGAGGATAGCATGGCGTCGGCGCCGGTGAACAAGATCGAGCGGGCCCACCTGATGTATCGGGAAGGGAGGTACTCGGAGGCCCTAGGGTTTTACACGGAAGCCCTATCCATGGCCAAGACGAAGCCCCAGAAGATTGCTTTGCACAGCAACAGAGCTGCTTGCTTCTTGAAGCTTCACGATTTCAAAGAGGGAGTGTTCGTTTCTTTGCTTTTTTTTTTTTTTTTTTTTTTCTCTTTTCGTTTTCTCTTTCGTTTTTAGGAAGTTCTCTATTTCTGAAATCTTGATCTCAAAGGAGTTGCTTAGAGCTAGTAATTTTTGTTTTCGAATGCTCAGTTCGGTGAGAGAGAGGAAATCGCGAGTTCAAGACATGATTTTTCTGCTGAAATTAGTGTTCTGGAATCTGATATGGACTTGAAGGATGAAAATATGGCTTAATTGGTTTATTAATTGACTATATTTTGACTATATTAGGCTGCAGACGAATGCACCTCAGTGCTTGAGCTTGATTTCAATCACACTGGAGCTTTGATGTTGCGGGCGCAGACCCTAGTGACCCTCAAGGAATATCACTCAGCTCTCTTTGATGTTCATCGGCTGATAGAGTTAAATCCATCATCAGAAGTGTATCAAAACCTTCAAGCCCGTTTAAAGACACAAGTGGTATAATTCCTTTGTTCTTGCTGCTGAATTTTTCGTTTTAGAGTTTTTTGATACAGGTTTCTCACATTCTTATTTAGTACATTAGTTGAAGATTAGGGGCTGTTTAAGATTTTTTTTTTGGGTCGAAAGGGGCTGTTTAAGATTGATGCATAAGTTTGGTGGTCAGTTATTTTATTATAGAATGATTTGCATTTGGAACCTAAAACCAGGGAAAGAGATTCTTTATTCCTACCCTTCCGAAAACCTCTAGGGTTTTGTTCGTTGTTGTTTGAAACACTTTTTGAGTAATAAGCATCATCATCATCATCATCATCATCATGATGTTTGCAATTATGAACACCACTGTTGCAATAAATTTACAATTATGAACATCATCATCAGCAGCAGCAGTGCAGCAGGTGGTGAAATCATAAATTTGCAATTGTCAATTTCCTGGCTGTGAGTAAAGAATTATTTTTTCTGCTTGAGGAAAGTCCCTTGCTCCAATACCTGAATCCGACGCAGAGCTAGAAGAAGAGGAAGAAGACGAGAATGAAGTAGAGCTAAATGGATATGGGGAGGAAGAGAAGCAATACGAAGGACAAGAAGATGCAGTATTTTCAGGTGCAGTAAAGGATCAGTTTGCTGAGGTTAATAGGACGACTGCTGTTGCTGATGTTATTCCCCCCAAGACACCAGTAAACAGGGAAGTTCCTGAACAAGGAAAGGATCCAAAAGTTAATTACACAAAGACTACTTCCCCAGCTGAAGTTGCTGCCCCCCGTGCAGAACTCATCAAAGTACCATCTGAAAAAGAAAAAGGATGGCAAGCAATCCCGAAACCAAAGGGGCACTCTTCTCTGGACTATGCACGGTGGGACACAGTAGAAGATGACTCTAGTGAAGATGACGACGACGACGATGATGATGAAGAGTCTCAACCTCAGTATAGATTCCGTGTAAGAACTGTTGGTGTCCGACCAGTTAAGTGAAGAGGCGGCAGACGAACAAATGTACACAATACACAAGATAGATAGCCATCATTATTGCTAAAACCAGCCACAAAGTCAATATCACAGTGAATTCAGGAGGGGAAAGTTCTTGTAGTTTCATATCCAGAAATTTTGAAACCTATGAGAAAATTGGCTTCAACAAGCAGGTGAGCTTGGAAACATATCATTTGTAAGAAACAGGATTCTGCATTTTAGTTATCTGGCTGAAGTTGGATTTATTGACTTTGTGCAGTTCCTGTTATGCTGTGATTTTCAAACAATTCATGCTGTGACACAAAAATAAGCGGAGGCTCGGTCCGCAAACAGTTGAAATCAAACTTGTCCTGGCTGATTAGTGCTTGCAGGGTCAGGTAAATTATTGGTTCTGTGATGGCGTTTGTAAATTTTTATTATAATGCTTGTAAGAAAATGATGAAAACTAAAAAGTTTTCAAGATTGCTACCAAATTTAAGCAACTTGTCGACCAGAAAGATGATACGAACTTTTTTTTTTTTTTTTTTTTTTTGTAATTTGTCTGGTGTCATGTCATGTGGAGTACGTAAATCGGTAATCGATGGCCTGATTTCTGTTTTTTTTGTAAAGTTCGGAAACGAATATGAGAATTTGCCTAAAATTTGTGAGGCATCCAACTTGTTAGAAGTGTTTTGGGCCGCCACCCAATATGTCAATCCAAATAACAAGCAAACTCAATAAAAAAACCTAAAGTAACATTAAGCACTTTTTTATTTCTAGTAAACGGTTCTAGAACCTAGATATAATAACATACTAAGATATACCTAGAAGAAAAAAAATATATATATAAAGAAAATAGAGTCCCCATGCCAACTTTTGCCATTTGGGCTACAAAAATACATCGACATCAAATAGAATAACTTAAGAAGCAACAGCTACACCAATATATTATACGATGCAATTTTCTTCCTCCTAATTTGAATTAGTTGCATCAAGTACTGGCAAAGCTTGGTACAAGATCTCAGCTGCAACATCAAGCTCCTGCTCTGTTATGATCAACGGAGGCACGAGCCTCACAACGTTGCCTTTTCCAGCAGTCAATACTAGCAAGCCAGAATTTCTACATGCATCCACAAGAGGTGAGGCAGAGACATCCAATTCAATTCCAATAATAAGCCCGAAGCCACGTACTTCTCTAACATGTGGGTTCCCTCCCAGCTTCTGCTTCAAGATATTTTTGAAGTAGAGACCTTTCTTGGAGACGCCGTTCAAAAAATTGGGGTTTGATATTTTGCTGAGAACGGCTAAGGCAGCGCTACAGACCAGAGGTGCACCAGCAAAAGTACTTCCATGGTCACCGAAAGCTATGGTGGAAGCAACTCTTTCGGTCACCAATGCTGCTCCAATGGGTAGGCCTCCAGCAAGTGGCTTAGCAAGTGTCATTATATCTGGGAATACACCATATGCCTCATGAGCCCAAAGATACCCAGTTCGGCCTAAACCACATTGAACCTACAGGAAAAAAGTGAAAGAAGCACAAACATAATTAATTGAGAGAAATTGAAATCATAGATAAAATACATGTAATCCGCTCTATAAACTTGAACCCTTGAACTTGCACCAAAAAGAGACTAGTGGTATAATGTATATAACTTTCAAATAGAATATGATGATGATTATGATAACAAGTAAAAAACACCAACAAGAACAACAATTATGTATGCACAATGCAAAGTAATAAGTATCCAAAAACTGCAAACAATGGAATCATTATATGGCGCATGGTAATGTATGAAGTTTGGCATTTGAGAATTCCAAATTATAGTTTGTTTGATATCCGCACTCCCAACTCTATGAAAGCAGAAGATAAAAGGGACAATGGGGACAAAGTTGTGGATTTAAGAATTGAGAAGGAAGGAAGAAACTAATACAAGAAAATCAAATACATAATAAAGAAATATTTTCAAGAGCCTTAAAACATCGACTGAAATACGAAATAGAATCGATCCAATGCTCAAGAACATAATGACCATTATTCAAGGGGCCGATGAAATAGAATCGATCCAATGCAATTGCTACCTTAAACCAAACTAGATCAAAACCATTTTGGGGCAAACATGAAAGTATAGAACTAGTGTAAATAAGATATACTAGCCAAACAATACACCACCTAGTTGCACTAAAATTTGGACACAATCTGAAGATAAAAAGTAGCAGATTACCTCGTCGAACACCAGAAGAGCACCAGCATCATCACAAGCTTTACGCAGAAACTGCAAGAACTCCTTTGAAGCACTGTATATTCCTCCTTCACCCTGGATAGGTTCGACAAAAACCGCGGCAGTTTTTCCAGGCTGAATCAATTCTTTGGTAGCTTGTATATTTCCATACTCTACGAATGTGACTCCAGGCATGACAGGCTCAAAAGGAGACCTGTAATGCTCTTTGCTAGTCAAGGCAAGAGCCCCCATGGTCCTCCCATGGAAGCTGTTAGTGAAAGATATGAAGCTTGTAGCAGGCTCTTTTGCATCAGGATTAGTGTGTCTCTGAAACTTCCTTGCAAATTTAATGGCTGCTTCGTTTGCTTCAGTTCCAGAGTTTGTGAAAAACACACGGTCTGCAAAACTAGAAGCAACCAGACGCTTTGCTAGTTCCACCTACATACACCAAACAATTTGGCAACATAAAAAACTTATCTTTAAAATCAAAATGCAACCTTTTACATTTTCTCTACACATTCTCGGCAACCAAACAAAGCATAATTCCAAAAAAAAAAATTCAAGAAGAAGGCCAAACCTGAGGGATGGAATAGTACACATTGCTGACATGAGTGAGGGTACTGGCTTGCTCAACCACAGCCTTGAGCCACTCCTCATCGCCATGGCCAAGCGCATTCACCGCAATCCCAGAGGTCAAGTCCAGATACTCTCGCCCCTCGGCATCGTACAATTTACAACCTTTGCCACTGGCCAACACCACCGGAGTTCGCGCGTAGGTCTGCACCACGACCTTGGCCTCCGTCTCTATAACCTCCTTGCTCTTCGCAAGCCCTAATTTTGACGCGGTATCTGGTACTTCCACGTCCACGCTAAGGCAAGCAGTCACCGCTCTCCGGCCGTTGATTAATTGGACCCGTCCGTGTAAGCTGGGGCTGAATCGACGGCGGAGATTGAGAGGTTGAGAAATGGGGTTGGGGGAAACGCGGAGGGAAGCCATACTCTGTTTTCGGCTGCAAGGAAAACGTTCGAAATGGGGTTGGCGGAGGAGGCTGCTTTTACAGGCGAGAATTGGTAGGAAAAAGGGAAGAAAATAGAGAGAGAAAGTGAAAGCATCTCATCTCTTAACCTAAAACGACAGCGTTTTAAAGTGTAAGATTTTAATTTAGGAATTTTGAACAGTGTCAACTTCAGACAGAGTGATGACAAGGCTTGACAACAACTCAACGAGTCTGTTATTTGCGTAAATGAATATTTTACTAGTTTCATAAATTACTCAATAAATAGTAATTAATTATTTTAAATTATTTTGTGGACTTTGCTTTTGAATTTTTATATACAAAATTAGTTTGTTTAGTTTAATATTTGCAATTAAAACATTTAATACTAATATATATAATTTATGAAGTTAATTAAAATATTTAATAATAATTATTCACTAAATAAGTAATAATGAAAGTAATTAAAAAAATGCTAAGGTATTATTTAATTACAAAAAAGAAAATACAAAAAACTATTTATTGACCTAAGGAACTAATGTTATATTTAAAAAAAGAAAATAACAGACGTGTGAATTTTAATAAGTTTAACTAGTATGGCTGCGCAACAATACTATTTAAAGATTCGAATTTATTTAAAGCATATAGCCGTTTGGCTGGACTTTCCAAATATTTTAGGGAAATGGCCCTCAGTGCCACCCATTTTATAATTTTTTGTCAAAATACCACACCTCCCCAAAATTTTTAAAACTACCACCTATAAATACATTTTTATTGTCCACTTATTGCCCACATAACACTTTTCTCTGAAATTGTGTTCTCTCTCTGTCTCTCTCTCTGAAACCCAGTTCTTCCTCTTCCTCTTTGTTTTTTTCTCTACCCAAATGAAGTCTTGCAGCAACAGTGAAAAGGAATCGGGTGAAATCCCTAGTTTTTGAAGTTTCCCAACAAGGCAAAGAAGAACATGTTTACAATTGACAAAGTGGATTTGATAATCTCACCAGTGGGTTCATGGCCCAAACCCCAGATACATCTTAATCAAGACCCCTGACCAAGCCCACATGAATGAGATTGTGAAATCTGATACAAGCAAACCGATCCTCCCCATTTTGCTCGCACAGAAATCACCAACGCTTACGCTTTGCACAGAAATGGTGGCTGGCCAGTGCCCATTCTATTTTTGGTCAACGTGGAAGGACGAAGTGAACGAATCTTATTCATCATCAGCATCCCCTAGATAAAAAAAAAAAAAAAAAAAAAAAATTCTCTTACCCAAATCCTCTTTGTTTTCACTATAAACCACAAGAACAGCAATCGTATTGTGATTTTATTGTGGTTGTATTGTAGTCGTATTGCTTTTGTATTGCTATGGTATTGCGGTTGTACTATTTTTGTAATACAACTACAATACAGCAATACCATAGCAATACAAAAGCAATACGACTACAATATAACCACAATAAAATCACAATACGATTGCTGTTCTTGAAGACTGTAAACCCAGACTTCAAAACCCCCAAAATTGGACCAAAATTCTCAAACAATGGCCACCTAATGCCAACACATGCTGTCATATTCAGAAAAGATGGTTTTGTTTGGGTTTGTTTAGGTTGCAAAAGGGATTCGAAGAGAGGTAGAAATTAGGGTTTGGATTTGGGTAGAGAAGAAAACAAAGAGGAAGAGGAAGAACTAGGTTTTGAGGGCAAAGCTGTGGGTTTTGCAGGTTGTTCTTGATCTTCTTCTTCGTGAGGAAGACGAAATTGGGGTTTGGATTTGGGTAGAGAAGAAAACAAAGAGGAAGAGGAAGAACTGG